AGGAAGGAAGGAAGGAAGGAAGGAAGGAAGGAAGGAAGGAAGGAAGGAAGGAAGGAAGGAAGGAAGGAAGGGGAACAGATAAAGCTGCTCTGGTATCAACTTGTAATAACAATAACCTCTAAAACTGTAATTTTCCCCCAGTCATATTTCATAATTGGTATTTTATTCCTAAATTAATTAAGTTGAGAGAATTTAGAAGGCCAAGTATGAAGAAAACCATAAAGGATTACACAGAGCAGGCTAGGCTAAAGTAAGGCAACTGAAAGGACAACAATAAAGGGGAACGAGGAACTAGAGCACCAGTTGGAAACTGGGTGTACAGTTTAAAAATCTGATGCTTTCTGAAGGAAGAATAATTCATTCATCCACAACCATATACAAAATACCAACACAATGCAGTTTGTAAAAATGATAGTCATAATGACACATCATTACATATCTTTCAGAGACCTAAAGTAAAAACAAGATCACAGCCAAATGCCAATGAGGTTATGGAGAGAACACATATTTTACATGTTATAATGTGAAGGCAAAACTCTGAGTATAGCTACTCTGGGAAACAGGAGACACTGTACTATACACACCATATATCTTGCAAGTGCAGTTGTTGCATTTATTCCTAAAACTTAAAAAAACACATTGACACAAAAATCTGTCCACCACTGTTGATAGGAATATTAATCATGATGGCAAAAACTGGAAATAGCCCAGATGTCTTTTAATGAGTAGTTAAATGAACCCTGATACATGCACACAAGGGAACCTACAGAGTAATAAAAAGCAACAAACTTCCAAAAAAAAAAAAATGTGTTAAAAGGCCGGGCGGTGGTGGCGCACGCCTTTAATCCCAGCACTCGGGAGGCAGAGCCAGGAGGATCTCTGTGAGTTCGAGGCCAGCCTGGTCTACCAAGTGAGTTCCAGGAAAGGCGCAAAGCTACACAAAGAAACCCTGTCTCGAAAAAACAAAAACAAAAAAAAAAAAAGCAACAAACTACTAATGTATGTAACAATGTGGATCTCAAGGGCATTGTGCCTAGTAAGAATATCAAGCTCAAAGAAAGGGTGGCATACTTTATAATTCCATTTATAGAACATTCTTAGCATGATAAAACTATAGAAATGGAGAACAAAGCAGTGGTTCCTTAGGGATGAAAGAAGAGATGGGAGGAAGAACTGGTTTCTTATCAAATAAAGTCTGTATTTCGACTGTGATGGTAGTTAAACGAATATGTTTATGAGATAAATGTATGTAAAACTACACACACCCAATGAATATGTGAAAGAATGTATGCTGTTTTATAATCTAATTAACAGTGTTATACCAATGTCAATTTCAGGGTTGATACTGACATTGCACTATAATTATGCAGGATACCAACAATGTGAAAAGCCAGGTGATAGGCTCTTTTTGTAAACTCCCATGAGTCTGTTATTATTTCTAAATAAAAAGCTGGACGTAGTTCACTGATACAGTCTTACAAACACTACATTAAACTTCAAAAAAAATTTACTTCTGTCAAGTTTTGATGAAGTATCACAGGATACCTTCAATTACCTGATAAGGCTACGGAAATAGTCCTTCCCCTTTCCACTTATATATGAGAGGGGCTGGATACTGGCTTGATAACAAGTGGTCAAGAGCTCATTTAATCATACCTATGTGATGAAACCTCTGTAAGAATCTCTAAACTACAGGGCTTACAGAATTCCTGGTTTGGTGAATATACCAAGGTGCTGAAAAGGAATAAAATATTCATACCGTTTTCCCCATATTGCCTAAACGTCTTCCATTTGACTCTTTCTGTGCTGTATCCTTTATACTAAACTAATAATCAAATATACAATTTCCCAAGTTCTATGACTCCTTTTGGGAATTCATTACCTAAGAATAGAGTTTATAGCTAGTTGGCTAGAAGTCTGTATAGACAGACAGGTGCTTACAGTAAGGGCAGTCTTTTGACACTGAGCCCTTTTAACCTACGGGATCTGACACTAACTCCATGTAGTATTCAAAACTGAACTGTAAGATTCCTACTTGGTGTTTAGAAAATAAACTGGAGAAAATCCCTACTATATTGTCAAGATTGTAGTGAGCAAGAACAATTCAAACATATTTAAAGTTTATAAGCACAGAAAAGAAAGAGTAATTAGTGATTTAAAAAAAGATAGCTAAAACTCTTCAAGGAAGAAAGTGTGCGCCAAGAATTTATATCCAGACTAACTATAATTCAGGATTAAAACAACAGTTAAGAACTAGCAAATATGTAGGCTGGGCAGTAATGGCGCACGCCTTTAATCCCAGCACTCGGGAGGCAGAGCCAGGCGGATCTCTGTGAGTTCGAGACCAACAGAGTGAGTTCCAGACCAACAGATTGAGTTCCAGGAAAGGTGCAAAGCTACACAGAGAAACCCTGTCTCAGATTTAAAAAAAAAAAAAAAAAAAAAAAAAAAAACCTCAGTTCTTATGAACTGACCTTGAAAGTTCAGCCAAGCAACAGCTAAGGCAAAAAGACAAGCTGTGAGCACTGGTCTCAAGACTATGAAAAAGTTGTGACTGCCAAATATACTGTAAATGTTACAATCCCTAGCAATGTTGAATGATCAGCAAAAAGTACAATAAAAGGATTGATGTATACTTACATCTTTATGCTGAACTGTTTTATACCTTTATATTTGTTACAACTGATCTCAGTCAGTTGTAAAAGAGGATCCCATAATATAGGTAAGTTTAATATGTTCATCTTAAAAATTTCAGACTAGATCACATGTGCTCCATCTCTCTCTCTCTCTCACACACACACACACAGAAATGCAATATATATATATATATATATATATACACACACATATATATACACATATATACACATATATATACATATATATATGGGGCTTATAAATATATATTTATATGGTTACTTGGAGCTGCACAGTAAAGTGCCCTTTCCAGAAGCTATAGGTTAGTAAACAAAAAATCTAGTGTCCAGTGTGGGATACCCCGTGGGGTTATTAGTTAGGGAGAGGGTCCTAGAAACTCCCAAAATAATACAGGCCACTGCCATTGCTCTTGGTTACTCACTATAACTTGATGGTAAGACACCATATGTTTTGATCACAGAATATGGAGAAATCAAACTGATCTGAAAGATTTCTTCTTGTTTTCTCCGTGCTAGAATGTGTTTTTTCAGGATCCTGGGAGAGAAAGCCACCACCAAGTCATACCCTGCTGTGAATCCTGTGCTACAGTAATGACTAGCCCGGCAAGATTTACCCATGGATGCAGTAGTGGCATGAATGCTACCAGAGTAACCAACAGATTTTTTTTTAATTGGACTTAAGGCCCACTGTATGGGAAGGAACTCATACCTGGTACTATAAACCTGATCAAGAACTCATGGTTTGGGAGACCACAGGCCCTACTACTATTATTTTGCTCAGGGCTAATAGTATTAAACCACCATCTAAATACTTACCCTTATACCCAGACTAGTACAATTCTCACCCCTCACCAGAGAAGCTTTTTGCAAAGCAGACAGTAGTGAATATAGACTC